AAGGAAAACCCCCTGAAATGCAAATAGTCTGTATGGAAGGTCCTTGGCACCAACGTTTTCCTTCTCTACACATCCATCCCTCTGGATCTGTGCTGCCTCCTAACACTTGGACCTGTCCATGGCCAACAAGCTTTCAACTCCCAGGGACAACTTCAACTGTTAAAATAAGTCTCAAAGACAACCAAAGGAGAGGCTGTGTAGGGAGGAGACACAAACCTGCTCCATGAACTAGCAGTGGCCCTCCAGGAGACATCTCAGAGAAGCCACACGGGACACTGGAAAATACCTTTTCTTGTAAACATCCTGGTGGGGCAGAAACTAAACAGAGTGGTGAATTTTACCTTTAAAGCCAGGGTAGAAGGAGAAAAACTATCTATAAAGAATGCATATAAAATGGGAAAATATTAATAACCACCCAAATTAGGTCAATGAACTGCTGGGAGGCTTTGCTATGAATGAATGGAGTGAGAGAGGGGGCGTAAAGTGAAAAAAGGGACAACTCAGGCCTCTAAAACAAAAGGTTTGGACAGAATCATAGGTTAGAAAATAGCTCTTAGATCACCAAGTGCAACTGTTAAATGAAGGTGTTAATTAAAACACAGCTCCAAGGAGGTGAAGGGCATCCAGGGAAGGAGCTGCCAGGAAAGGGAAAGGCATTGGGTACCTACACAAAGGTCCCTGCCCTCTTTCACTCCTGTGAAAAGAAGCCAACCCAAGACATATTCCCCCAGGGCTGCAAGGCAGCTGGAATGGGGAGAAAACCAAGGAAAAAGTGCAAAATATTCTGGACCTGCAGAGAGCCTGGAGCAACACCACGAAGGCACCGCAGTCCAAGCTGCAACAGCGGATTCATTTCAAGCCGTGCTGCCACAGGAGACAATTCCAGAATCCTGGACGTGATGGGAACAAAGGAGCACAGGGACACTGGTTATGGAAGCAGACAGGCCCTGCTCAGATGGGCAAAGCCCAGGCAACTCTCCCAGCTTGGTGGGCAGGGACACCTCGGGGCTGTCACTGTGTCACGGGAGATGCTTCCCTGCTCCAGCCATGCCATGGAAAGGTGGCACCAAGCTGGAGGGAAACCTCTCCAATGACTTTGTTAAATTAGTGCCCAGGATTAACCTCAGGAGTCTCTGGATGGGGAATGGGCCAGTAGGAGGGATTAGTGTGCCTGGAGAGAAGGGTGTTTGCTGAACCCTCACCTCACTTGGCACCGACAACAGCAGGAGAAACCACCCACCTGCTTCCTCCTGGATTTATGGAAGTGCCACAGTGGCTCCATCTGGAAGTGATCTACACTTAGATATGTGTCCTGATAACTTAGGGATCTCCTTCATGCCCTAAATACCAACAGGGCTGAGCCTGGCACTGCTCCTCTGGACTCTTTTTTTCTCAGACTCTGACACACCTTTGCCTCTCTATTCCACCTTTCCTCTGGTGTAAAGGATGTAACTACAACATTCATTAGTCAATGAATTTATTAACTCATCTGAATACATCAGAGGAGTAGAATATTATAATTAATGTTATAGTCTGTATGATCCTATAATTAAAATTATAGTCTCACAGGTGACATGTCAGTGATTGCTGATTTAAGAGAGTGAGCATAAAGGATGGACATGAAGGAGAACTGCTCATCCCAAGATTGCAAAAATCAGGAAAGTGGCTCCAAAATAAGCATCAGTTGGATAGTAAGATATTGGTTGGGAAGAAGTAAATGAGTTTTGGTGCTGGGGGAAGCTCATGCCATAAAGACAATCCCTGTGAGCAGGAGGATAAACCAGGGTTTGTTCACTTGCTTTCCAAGATAGAGGTGTCTCCTTGAGGGAAGGTCAAAGCCCTTGAAGAACAACTTCCTTCCAGATTGGCTTGGCAGGGACTCCTGGTCCCCTTCCCACTGGGGCTGGGCATTCCAGGTGCCTGTGCAAGCCAAGGGATCTAGGACACGATCCAAAGTGTCCATGCAGAACAGGGAGACACCATCCGTGCAGGACAAAGACAGGACTACAACCCTCCCAGCCCTGGTCCCTCTGGGACTCCCCAGTGAGTGGGGCAGGAAGCCCCTCTGCTCAGCTCAACTCTTTTTGATCAGCATTTTCTCTGCCTTCAGGAGCTGGGCGGAGTTTGCTCTCCCTTCAAACCATGTCCAAGGGTGGGAAGAGGTAGCTCAGTGGTCCACAGAACATTCCCCAGGTCCCAGGAGCACCCTGACCATTCCTCAAGGCTTAGCTGGGAAGACACCAGGTCACCAAGAGATAAACTCAATAAACAGTTCAACTCTGTCAGACATGGAGGACTGATGGACACATGGAAAGATCTTCTGAGCCTGGAGCTTCTGCCTGGCATCCCCTCAGCCATGTCCTACCAGCTCTGTGACCCCAGGGGCACATTCCAGTGTGGAAAGAGGCAACCCCCCCCCAGTGCCACCAATTTGGTGGGTATTTACAGTCATGGGATGGTTTGGGTTGGGAGGCACCTTAAAGATCATTTATCTCCAACCCACTTGCCATGGGCAGGGACACCTTCCACGAGATCAGTCCTGTTCAACCTGGCCTTGATCATCCTGATCCGCTTCATCCACAAGGGATACAGAAAATTCCTGCCCATTCCAAGGCCTTCTGCCCCCCAGCACATGAGCTCTGACCAGGAGACAGGAGCTAAAAGGGTGCAAAAAGAGGGACAAACCCATGGGATTGGTGTAAAACCCCCCCAAAAGCCGAACACGCTTCATGGGCCAAGTCCTTCCCTACCACAAACTCCCCCTTGGAAAAAAGAAGCTCTTGAAGGACAATTAGCTGGAGCTGATTAACAGCTGCTCGAAAAGGAATCCAGGTTAAAGTTTCTGCCAAGGAGACTTTTCTCCTTAACTCCTGAATGACCAAACTTCCTGGAATGGCTCACAAGGCTTCTTATTGTCACTCTCCAAGTAACTTTGTCATTTTCCCCTCTTCTATCCATCTTTCTGCAGGCATGGCTTGTTTCCAAGGAGCCCAGCAAAGGTGAATATGGTATTTTATTAGTAAATGCCGCATTTTTCAAGAGCATTCCTTGCTTTGATGTTTCTCCAGGCAGCAAACACTGGTCCCTTCAGCTTTGTCCAAGGCAAAATGTCAACGTCTGAAGGGCAATAATGCCACTGTCACCTACCTGGAGTGGCAGGACTCAAGCAAAGGCCTCTGGCTTTTAAGAAAAGCTGTATCAAAATTAATCTATTCCACCATCACCGGGAACCCTCGGCTTTGCCCTTGCATTGGGATGAAATACGTGGCATTAGAAGGAAAGGAATAAAGATAAAAGCTCAGAGATGTGAAGGTCAGCCCAGGGGTTCCCCAAATGAAGAGTTTATTCAAAATAGGTCCTCAGCTGCAGTGTCCCCCCAGCACACAGGGGATCCTGACATAAGTGATCCCTAAAAACTCACAAAACAATCCTCAAAAACCCTCCCATACAATCTGCATCCCCAACATTCCTGGGATGGCAAACAACTCCATGATAATTAATAATAGAGCTTAAAATCCCCAGCTTCACTGCCAAGGTTTTCTTCCCTTTGCTTCTGATGGAAACCAATCAAACCCAAATAGTAACACTCAAAAAATAATATCAAAGGATAACAGCACGTGCCTGGAATACTTGGGACCATCTCCCTGAAGCTGCTAAAGTTGATTTTCCAACCCTTTGTAAAATGCTTTGTAGAAGCTGCTCCTGGCATTAAAATGCCATGATTTCAGCTATATATAAAAATACACATAATCAAATATATTTATCAGTAATATCTAACAGCCAGTTATCTGCTGCTATAGCACTGTGTCCATTTGACTTGGCATTCTGGGCCCAAAATCCCTGTTTTTTGGGATGGCAGAAGAAGGAAACTGATAAAGGAGTTTTAGGGAATTTAACCTTTTTTAACGGAACTTCTTTTTAAGAGGAAATCTTACACATTTGATCCGGGGCAGGGAAATCCTATTGCAAACTAAACTGCAACCCTGCATTCTAGCACCTTAAAATACATTTAATATCATTAAAAATGCACTTCAAACATCACTCAAAGATGATAAAGAAGAGGCTTGTGGGTATTTTACAGAAGTAGCAGGATTTGCTCAAGAAACTCAGCTTCTTGAGATGGATATTTAGTTTCTGAAAGGAACAGAGAGGTATTTTCAATCAATTAGGGCTTCTCACTTTCTCTCCATAGGAGTACCTTTGGTACAGACTATTAGAACCCTCTCTGGTTTAATGAGAAGTTACTGTGTAGAACTTAGGAGCAGTCTTAAATTTAGGCAGCTGTAGATCACTGATGAACAGTCACACTCTCCCTTCCCTAAAAAATCCCAATAAAAGCCAATAATTGCACAGGAAGAAAAGTAAAGAAATGTTGTACAGAGCAGATTTAATTTCCTTTTTAGTAACTCTTGCCTTTGAATTATATCTGGCTCATGTTCAGCATCTCTCTAATCAGAACTCTCTTCTAATTCCTCTTCCAAGGTTTGATCATTGGGAGGGAATCAGAGTTCAGACATCACGAAGCTTCCAGATTAAAATCCAACCGTAGATCAATGATGAATGAAAATTGGTTTTTTAAACAATATTTTAAACTCACAGTACACTCCAGCCCCCATTTCTCACCCCTGGCCTCAAACCACCTTTAGACTCTGTGAAGGTATCTGAGGAAGGGCAGAGCTCTCTGAAGAAAACCATCGTTCTCAACAACCATTTCCTCCACTGCAATCCCAACAGCTGGAGTTTCTCACCTTACAAGAGTTCAAGAGAATTTTTTGGAAGATCCAACACTTCTGAGGACTCAAATGCTGTGATTAAGAAGGACCTTGGGGCCACCTGGCTTTGGACACTCACCTCCACATTCACAATAATTCTCTCCTTTTTAAGCAGTTTTACCCTACTGTGTGGACAAAAAGGAGGGGGTTTTTTTGGAACTACAGTGACGTACCATCAATAAAAATGAGTTTAAGATTTTCTGCTGAACACAGGGAGCAGGCACTTACTTTGCTTTTGCTTCTGCATCTTCATAAGCTTTGTTGGAAACGTCATCCAGGCCCCCGATGAGATGCTTGAAGGAGCTGTAAAAACAAAGGGGCACTTTTAGGGGAAGAACTGTAGAATCCTTAAGTCTGGAAAGGATTTTGGGATCAGCAAGTCCAACCACTAACCCAGCACTGCCACTACCCCATGTCTGAAGTGTCCATTTGGGAGCCACAAAAGCCACTGTGGCTCTTTGGCAGCAACCAGGGGCTGTATCTCGATGCCCACGACCAACCAAACCAGGGCCAGGGCTGGGAAACGCAGCCTCAGAAATGCTGGAGGTGCAATAACCAAGGTCAAGAAGATCCAAACTTATTTTTCCAGCCCCCTGAAATGACTGCTGGAGGTTTTCCACCCCCCAGGAGTAGTACCAGAGCAAGCATGTGGATGTGCCTGGTGGTGGCACCTCAGCCCCGATCCCCGTCCTCCCACCAGAATCCCCAGAAATCCCTCTGCTTCCAAAGTGAGGGAGAATCTTTATTTCTGCCTCTGTCTCATCTTTAAGAGAAACACTCCCCCAAAAACACATCAAAGGTTTCAAACTGAAAGAGGGGAAATTTAGGTTTGGGAATATTGGGAAGGAATTGTTCCCTGGGAGGGTGGGGAGGCCCTGGCACAGGTTGCCCAGAGAAGCTGTGGCTGCCCCTGGATCCCTGGAAGTGTCCAAGGCCAGGTTGGACAACCTGGGCTGGTGAAAGGTGTCCCTGCCTGTGACAGGGGTGGAATGAGACGAGCTTTGAGGTCCTTTCCAACCCAAGCCAGTGTGTGATTCCATGATTCTAAAAAATCCAACTGTTATATCTTTGGTGGTGACACCAAACAGTGCCCCAGGCAAATAAAACCCTAGAAATTAATTATTTTTAATGATTCTAACAACTAATATCAATGGATACCTAGAATGAAAATACTCCAGGTGAAAAGCTCATTCCCTACTATACATTTCCAATATTCCCAGCCTGTCTGTCACACACCAGTTTTCCTTTTTTCCAAGGAAGAAAGCAGCCCTTGCCAAAGGAGAAAAGAGCCTGGCTAATTTGAAAGGATGAACTGCTGCAAACTACAGCCTCTTGACTAAGCTGTGCCTTAAGGTCACGGCCTCACAAAGGAAAACCCTGCAGTCCCTCCAGCCTTATGTTCCTCACACCCCTGAGGCACCAAACACAGAGCTGAAGAGCAGAAATGGCTGTTAAATCGAAAACAAATTAACTGAAACCTGGAAAAAATGAAAAAAAAATATTAAAATGACCATTTAGGGCCACATTTTTGAATTTAGGAATAATATTTAACATGGAAATATTTGCAGTGAGGAGTTGCAGGATGAAAGAGAATTGATGCTGTTGAGCAGGTGAGGGAAATCCAGGGCAGGCTGAGCCAGGGGCAGCTGGGAAAGGCAATATCCTGTGGGACAGGAGGTCAGCCAGGATGGCTTCGTGTTCCCTTCATGGAGCTGTCCCAGCTGTGCTGTGCCCAGGGAGATTAAACCTGCTGACAGGCTTAAGTGGGTACTTAAGTGTCCTGCTGCATCAGGAGACGGTTGATCCCATGGAAGGTACTCTGTGTGCATGCAGGGAACAGGGACAGGACTTCCAGGAGAACCAGAGGGGGGTAAATTATCTTGCTTTAAAATCAGCAGCTGGAAAAAGCCACATTTTACCCATAGGAGGCAAGAGATGATGGTTGGGAGAGGGATTTACAGTGATTTGGATCTAGAGCTGCTGCAAAGGGGCCTTTCCTGAGTAATTCCCTCTCACACTCCTGTGCCACGTGCTCTGGGCTGGAGCAGGGAGGTGGAACCAGATGCCCCACTGTGGGCCCTTCCAACCTGACCCATTCTGGGATTTTCTGCTTCCTGTAACTCAGGAAAAATCCCCCCAGCTTTCTACTTTCTTTAATGGTTACATTTTAAACGACATAATCGAGGAAATCATTTCTGTGGCATCCAGGAAAGCAACGGGAATTCATTACTGAGGAAGAGAAGGCAAAGCCCCCTTTGCTCTTGCAGAGAAGTTGTGTTGGGGTCTTTTAACAAGGCTGGTTACTATTAATATGAATATTTTTAATATTAAGATGTGTGAACCACCATCTTTTCAACCCCAAATTCCCCTTGCCCAGCAGTGAAAATATGAACAACTCAGCTCATCCAACACCTCAAGGTTTCTCTTCCTTGTGCCTGGGATGTGCCAGAGGTTGAAGCCAAACCCTTGCAAGGCAACAGTGAAAGCAAAGCAAGATGTGGATGTTAATCCTCAATTAAAACCCAGATATTCAGGCAATTAATTAACATAATCCTCCTGGATCACCATAAGAGATGATCTAGGGTTTAAATTGTAATTTGGGCTTGGTTTGCTTTGGCAAATGTGGCGGGGTTAAACACCCCATTTTTTTTTTTATTGGCAGTGCAAATAAATCTCTAGTGAAACACAGAAGAAAAAGTCACTGTAAGGAGTAACAAGTTTGTCTAATATCCTTAAGTTTTTACTAAAAATCTTAAGCAAGACTTAGGACTGGGCAAGGCATTGAAGCTCACTCTGTTATTGCTGTTGAAGTGTCAGCTCAGTCACAACCTCCCCAAAGAGTCAATCAGAAAACTGCTCTGGTTTTTTTTTCCCCCCTCACAGCTTTTTCTCTTCATTTTTTTTCCTATTCTCTCCTCACAACCAATTTTCTCCATGGATAAACTTCGCTCCAACTGGGAGAAACACTAAAGCAGCAAAACCTAAAATCCCCAGTGGAAGAGTCTGGCTCGGCTTGTGGAGGGTCAGTCACGCTCAGATAACACTTTTTTAATTTCATTTTTCTCCAACTTCCATTGCCAAGAGAGTCGATCCAGGAACCTTTCCTGACACCTCAGAGCTATCCCTGACAAAAAGGCTTTTAAAAACCAAACAAACCCACAAAATGCAAAGCGGAAAAATCCCAAAATAGCTGAAATATTTGAAATGCTGCCTTAAAAAAAAAAAAAAAAGTGTATCATCCTGATATATGTAACTGAAGGAGACAACAAGCCGGAAAAACAGTATTTAGCATTAAATATCTGCAAATATCAGGCACTTTTGCAGCACTCTGTGCCTTGAGTTTTACTGGCTCTGATCCATCAGATTTGCATGAGGCAATTTTGTTCTCCCAGCACCCACGACGTTGACACTTGGTAAATCTCAGAGCCCCAGAAAACATTGTTAGCAACATAAATAAATTATGGAGAGGGGGGAAAAAAATCACATATAAATAAAAGATGAACCTGAATCAACTTAAGTATAAACATTCTTACAGTTCAGGAGGAGCTCTGAATGTTTTCTAAGACTTTTTGAGTTTCAAGAAGTGGGTGTGAAAATAAAAAAGAAGGATAAAGTTGCACCAACTTCTCAGAGTGTCAGTGGTGATCCAAATGTTGGAAATGAGTTTGGAACCTTTTCCTCCCGTTTTCTCTCCCCACAAAGGAGCTGCAAGTGAAGTGTGTCTGTGTGCCTTTATTCTGATTTACACAACAGATGCTCAAGGTGTGTCTCCAAAATTTTTATCAGAAGGCCTTTTATAGACAATTTCCTAGAGGAGCAATCCATCAAATCCAGCAGATGGGCACTGTCAGCTTTCTCCCAGTCAGCCCAACTCTGCTTCTGCAACAAAACTAACAACCCCTCCAGGGAACCTGAACATTCACCAAGATGAGCCAAGACAAGGCCAAGCTTGAAACAATTTGGAGGCAACATCCTCAGGTATCTCCCAGGATTAGTTTCTTCCCAGAGGATGAATTACTGCAGTGGCACAATAGGAAATACTTCATTAGCAACAGGTTTGATTTTAGTTCATGTAGGGTCAAAGGCAAGCCCTCAACACAGAAAGTCCAGAAAATGTAAAAAAATAAAAATAAAAATAAGGAATTAAAAATGAATAAAAGACATCTGACAGTTGTTCTAAAATATTAATATGTTTACCCAGATCAGGAGAAAATGTTTTTTTTTATCTGGCTCCCCAAGTATCCAAAGGCTTCTCCAAATTCCTTCAAGTGGTTTGTCCGATTTTTTTGACAATTCCCATGAACACTGTGTGGATTTGGCTGAACTTCCCAAGGCAATTCCATGAGCCCCTAGTTGGGTCTGTGCTCCACGGCCGGCAGGAAGAACATCCTCCCTCCACACAGCCTGGCTACATCCACCTGGTCTCACTGGAAAGCCTGAGCATGGAGAGGACACCAGGGGGCCCCGGGATCCCTTAGCAGAGCTGTCATCCTCAGTCCATCAGCCTTGGCACCATCTCCTTTTATTTTCCCTACTGGATTAAGGAACCTGCTCTTCCATGGTGAAACTTTTGATTATAACATGAAATTCCCTGGAAGTTTTGCTTTCTGATTATTCAGTTCTTTCTTTCGAACGCACCTGACTAAAGTAGGACTACACTAGGGTTTTTTGAGGGGTTTCTGGTATGATTTCAGCTCCTAAAGTTCTCTTAAATGCTGTAGCAAATGTTCTGTTTGCTGTCAGTCTTCCTTGGGTGACCAAAATGAGCCCAGTGGGAATTGCAGAATCCCAGAATGGTCTGGGTTGGAAGGGACCATAAAAGAGCAGCTTGTTCCAACCCCCTGCCATGGGCAGGGACACCCTCCACTAGCCCAGGGTGCTCCAACCTGGCCTTGGACACTTCCAGGGATGGGGCAGCCAGGACAAAGACAGGTGGGAACAAAGGAGCTTAATTCCATGGGACACATCAAATGCTTTCTCATTGCAGGTTGTTTTATTTGTTAAATCTCAATTCTGCTGGTTTCTACCCCAGAAAAGAAGTTGGAAATCCACTCTCTCAAGGCATGTCTACCCAGATTTGCAAGAATTCACTCCACTGCTTTTTTGGGCATCTTTGGGGTGTTTTTGTGGCTGTAACAGCCCTCTTGTTTCACAAGGAAATTAAAAAGCGAGGCAGCACCAACATAGTGAGAGTCTGGTGATTAAAGACTATTTCACTTTCCTCCTGGTACTTCCATCTCCCACTGCTTCACCCCTGGAACCATTCTAGACCTATTTTAAATTTCAGAGATGCTTTTTAGAGGACACATTTCCTATTTCCATGCTCAAGCAGTGTCCCATCTCCAACCCAGCTCTCCCAGAGCTCTCCTGGCAGCCTGGCTCATCCCTAGGAAGAAACTTTCCCACACTATTTCCTCTCAAAATACAAACCCTCCAGCCACTAAACCAGCCCTAAAATTGCTCATAAAATTCCCAGATCCAGAGACCAGCCTCATGTCTCTCTTAGGAACAACTTGCTGTGACACCAAGGCGTGACTCTCTGCATGAGCTGGAATTTTGGATATCTTGGGAAGACTTACAAGGAATTTGGAAGAGCTTCCCTTGCTGCCAAGGTGATGCTGGTGGGTAACATGAACCCCGGCCAGTGAGACTGAAATGCTCCAGTTTCTTAGGAAGGAAATGTTATTTTCCCATCATTTGTGTTTTGAAACAGCAACATCACTGTTGCTGAGACATTTCAGAGCAGGACACCCACAGAGCATGAAAATTGCTGTCAGTAGTTACATCTGATTAAGCAAAGAGCTTGGCTTGGAACAGAAAATATTTGGCAGCCTTAATGACACATCACCCCTCAGCGTGAGCATCTCCCATGACCACAACAACCCAAACTGGGTGATGTTTGGTGCATCTGGATAGAAAGAAATGCTATTTTCCCCTCATCAACAGAATTTCCCATTTTTTCTCCACATTAAAATTTGCTCCTATGGTTATTCCCATGCCCATAAAAGAACAGCCCAAGAGAAAAACTCTGACAAGAAATCCAGTACTGGGCAGGACACAGGACAACCTTCCCTGAATGATAAAAGGTGCTATAAATAGCATCAATTTTCTTGCACTATAAATAAGATTCTTATAAATACTCTGCTACTAATTGCAGAGTGTTACTAGAATCTCTGGTGTAGATTAACTACAGCTTCATCAGGTTGAATTTCACTTGTGCTTCCTCACTATTCCAAGGGCATTATACACTGAGGAGAAGGCACAGGAGACAAGTAAAGAAACTCTTGGTAACATGATCAGGAATGAGTGACTCTGCAATTATTAGTTATGGGTTTTTTTAAATGCTTACAGTGCAAAGCAAAAATACCTGTTGCAAAAGTGGTAAAAAAAAAGGGGCACAAAATTCTTGTTGCTTTGTATTTCTCTGAATTAAGGCTTGCCAAATTATCTAATTAATAAAAAGATAAAAACTCTTAAAATTAAGAGGCTCTTGCTAAGTAATCTAATGAATAATAATTCTTCTTTTCTTTGCCCCAAAAAACAAGAAGGGGGTGTTTGATCCACCAGGTTCCCTTGGTTGTGTACGTGAAAGAACCTCCCTGGTGTTCCCCACCTGTGCTCAATGGAGAGACCATATTTCTTTTTAATCCATAATAAATTAACACATCAGAAGGATCAGGATTTCTGAGGTATTATTCCCAAACTCAACCTTTGCAGAACACCAGATTTCTAGAAATGGAGGAGGGTGAGACAACTGGGTACAAAGCACTTGTGTCAAAGCAGGATTGAGGGTACAGAGACCATCCCTCCGAGGCACTTGAGCAGGGAACTGTGTCTCTCCAGAAGACAGGAAGGGCTCCAGAGGTCCCTTCTGACCTCTGACAGCATCAACATGTCCTGCACCAACACTGTGTGCCCAGGGAACACAGGGAAAAAGCAACCCTTTGTGATATTTCATAGAATCATAGAATATCCAGAGCTGGAAGGGACCCACAAGGATCATCCAGTCCAACTCCTGGCCCTGCCCAGACACCTCAACAATCCCACCCTGTCCCTGAGGGTGTTGTCAAACCCTCCTGTAGCTCTGGCAGCCTTGGGGCTGTGCCCACTGCCCTGGGGAGCCTGGTCAGTGCCAACCATCCTCTGGGGGAAGAACCTTTCCCTGAGATCCAACCTGACCCTGCTCTGGCACAGCTCCAGCCATTCCCTGGGTCCTGTCCCTGGTCACAGAGCAGAGATGGAGCTGCCCCTCGGGAGGAGCTGCAGCCCCCGGTGAGCTCTGCCCTCAGTCTCCTCTCCTCCAGCTGAACACACCCAGTGCCCTCAGCTGCTCATCCCAGGGCTTCCCTTCCAGGCCCTTCCCCATCCCTGTGTCCCTCCTTTGGATGCTCTCCAACAGCTTTAGACCTTTCCTATATTCTGGTGCCCAAACTGCCCCCAGGACTCGAGGTGAGGTGCCCCAGTGCAGACCAGAGTGAGACAATCCCCTCCCTTGACCCTCAGTGCTGTCCCACACCCCTCTGAAAGCTCCCAGCACACAGGGAGGTCCTACACATTTCAAAAATCCAGTGGATTTATCTTCCTTTCAAACAGTGGCAGATTCAAACAGATTTCCTGTTTTCCCCAGGGTTTTGACTCCCTCCTGCAGGTCCTGTTGGGTTCCTGCCCTGGGGAAGTCAATCCCTGTTCATTCTATTTGCCTCTCTCTTGCTTTCACAGATCGACACCACATTCCCTTGGAAAGATTCCCATGGAAGATAAACCTTTTGATGGTTTATACCAACACTTCACTGCCCTTACAACTGGAAAACCACCACAGGAGTCACACTGAATTTCATGCTCATTGCTTTTAATCCCATTCCCAACAGCTGTAGGAGCAGTTGAATTCACAGCTCTGGATCATCCAGGCATGTTTTTTTCCAGAATAACCCCCCCTAATTCCCTCAAGCTCCATAGACAAGATATTATTTTACTCTCCTCACCTCCTCTGTGTCCTTGGAGCCGCAGAGCTCCAAGCAGGGCTGTGTCCTTCGCCCAAGGACTCCCCACCCCACACGGGCTGGAATAACATCATCTTGCTCTAACATTTGCCAGGATGAACTCGAGCTGTGTTCCACTGCACCAGCTCCGTTTCCCCAGGAATTCCATTCCCCAGTTATTTCCATTTTGTGTCTGCACTTCTCCATTGTCAGCGTTTGCCACTACTGAGCTGATTCAGAGGCGCCTTCCCTCTGAATATCTGGAATATTGGAGATATCCCCCCTGAAGTATCAAGATACACTGGGATGGCATTACTCAAAATTAAATGGCCTCTCTGAAGAAAACCATCAAAGGCTCTCTAAAGCTCTGGAAAAGGTGCAAATTGGAGGCAAAGCCCAAGGCAGGGGAGGGATGTACTTACTCTCTGTCTATGACCAGACACGTCACCGCTTCAGCCGCAATGACGTTGGCTGTTCTGACGTCCTCCCTGCAAGGAAAAACACATTTCTTGAGCCAGTTGCATTATTTCCACGACAATCTTTTGATTTCCAGGCATCTGGGATCCTTCAAGCCCTTCAGAAAAATACATTTCTGGGAGGCACAGCTTTGCCCTGATGTTTTCATCCCCCACCCAGGCTTCAAGCAGGTAAAAGCTACAAATTACACATATAATAAAACACCAATTTAACTGATTTTAATCCAGCTGATTCACTGTTCCATCAGGGTTCAAGAGATACATTTTCTGTGCTGGGGAGAGAAATGCACAGGATTCATTTCATCCCAGTTCACTCCCACCTTTCCAGGTATGAAGGGTAAGTGGATCACAGGCAAAAAGAGACCTCTCCTTCTAAACACCCCTAATTCATTTAGACTGTGCATTTCCACTGAGGCAGAAAATGAGATTTAAAGGTGCTGTTAGAAGTAAAAATGTCCTCATTTAAAGACTGGAGGTATTAAAGCAGTAAAAAAGGGCGATGCATGTGCACTCATCTCTCCCTTTAAAGTAATCATTAATTAACTTTAATTGCCTTTGAGATGTCTTTATGTCAATACCTTTAAAACAAAGCAAGCAGAAACACAAATGAAAGAAACATTAATATTCAAATGCTGACTTTGAGTCTATTTGTACCGAAATTAAGTGTGTATTAGTGCTAATTTACCCCACTGATAAATGAAATTATGGTAATTGATAGCAAGTAGAAAGAAGGAGCTGAATAGCAGTAGATAATTATCTCTATTAACTTCCAAAACCCTGGTAAATATAGAGAGGGTAAGGAATTACGGTATTTAATATCCCCTTAAGTTGCTGTAGCCAACTTTCACTGGGATATTGATCCATTAAAATGACTATGCAACCTTTCTGGGTGTTCCCTAATTCCAGTTAAAACTTAACATATCTATCCCATTATCTCAGATGAATTTCTGTCATAAAAAGACAGTTTATCCCTTTACAGTTCTGGATTAAAGGCATGATGATGGTCACTATATTATATTTAGATGATTATAGAAGGGGAAAATACACTACAATTGGTGGCTTCATCAAACATTTTAAATAAACCTTGAAACTGGAGATTCCAACACACAAGGGACTGTTGTGGGGTTTGCTATTCTGCACTTGACACGTCCTTTTAATCAGCATGGAATCGATCTTTGGTACCTCCAAAGTCCTCCTGTACCACCTTCTGTACCAACCTTGAACCTTCTGGTGAAACACAAGCCAAGCTCAGACCTCCCAACACCTCCCAGTGCTCCAACACATCCCAACGCTCCAACTCCTCCCAAGGCTCCAACTCCTCCCAGTCCTCCCAGCACCTCCCAATGCATCCAAATCCTCCCAACACCTCCCAGTGCTATCAACACCTTCCGGCGCTCCCAACACGTCCCCAAACCTCCCAGTGCTCCCAACACCTCCCAAGGCTCCAACTCCTCCCAAGGCTCCAACACCTCCCAGTGCTCCAGCTGCTCCCAAGGCTCCAACACCTTCCAGTGCTCCCAACACCTCCCAAAGCTCCAACTGCTCCCAACATTCCAACACCTCCCAAGGTTCCATCTCCTCCCAGTGCTCCAGTACCTCCCAACACTCCAACTGCTCCCAACACCTCCCAAGGCTCCCAACACCTCCCAATTCTCATTTGAAAAGGGAATTAATTTACAGGATTAAACGCAACAGGAGACCACTGGAAGAGCAGAATTCCAGGGCATTAGAGGCAAAAATAAACCCTACCAGTGCAAGGCCCTGAATGAAATGCTAGCAGGTGCATGGCATTAAATGAGACAACTAATTCCTACAGGTGCTCAGCACCAAGTGCAAGACTAACTAGTGCAAGTGCACAGCATTAAATGTAGGAGTAATTCCTACCACTAATCAGTGCCAAAGATGAAAAAGTAGCTACTACCTGGCATGAAATGCAACAAGTAATTACTCAAACTGCATAGCATTCAGTGCAGAAGTTACTGCTGCAAGTGCATGACATTAAATGCAACAAGTAATTACTACAGGTTCACAGCATTAAAGGCAAGAGTAATTACTACCACTGAACAGCATAAATGTAAAATAACTACTACAAGAGCATGGCATTAAAGGCAACAATAATTACTAGTGAGTAGGTGGGATTAAATGCAACATGGAATTACTACAAGTGCACAGCATTAAATGCAGGAGTTACTACTAGCACTGCTGACTACCAGTGCACAGTATTAAATACAAAAGGAATTACTACTGAGGACACGGCATTAAATGCAGAAGTGTAAGTGGACAGCACTAAAGGCAAAAGTACTTGCTCCCAGTAACTACTCCAAGTGCACAGCATCAAATGAAAAAGTAATTACTACCATTAGTTACTATCAGTGCACAGCATTAAAGGAGAGAGTAATTACTAGTGAGTGCATGGCATTAAATGCAACAAGTAATTATTACAAGTGCAAAGAGTGAAGTGCAAAAGTAACTACTATGAGTGCACAGTGTTAAAGGCAAAAGTAACTACTACAGGTACAGGGCATTAAATGCAAAAGTAAATACTATTTACTACAAATAATTACTACAAGTGCACAGCACGAATTGCAGAACTTACTACTAGTAAGCATTAAAGGTAAAATTAACTACTACATTAAATACAAAAGTTACTACTAATAAGTGCATGGCACTAAATGCAACAAGTAACTACTACCAGTACTCACTACCAGGACACAGAATTAAATGAGAAAGCAACTCCTAGAGTAAATCACAGCCTAAAATGCAACAGGCAATTACTGCAAATGCACGGCACTAAATACAACAAGGAGTTACTTTAGGAGCACAGCACCGAATGCACAAGCAGCTCCTAGAAGGGCACTGTCTTAAATCCAGCCATTAATTAGCCATTAACAATGCATTAATTACTAGCAGTGCCACCACCACCCCCTGGCACCAGCGAGAGCCCCAACCCCGGCACTGACTCGGACACTCCCCGGCCTTCATCGTCGTCGCTGCTCCCCGAGAAGCCGCGCTCGTCGTCAGCGGAATCGCCATCGCTCTCGGAATACTCCATGGCTCCTGCCTGCCTCCACCTTTTCCCTGGACACAGGCCTGCTTCCCCCCAGCCTGTTACTATATTTTGCCCTCTGGTATTTTGCAGCTCCTCCGGCCTCACGCTTGGGCACCTGGAGAAAGGTCACAGCTGCTGCCACCGCGGGGGTTTCTCAGGGAAATCCAAGAGGAGGGGATTTGGGAGCTGTCCTGAAGAGCTCCATGGCTGGACACAAGTGGGCTCGTGCCCAAAGTGCATCGGGAGACCTTGTTTCAGCTCCTTAAGCCCGTGTGGAATGAGGTGGCAGCGATCCCCATGTTCCTAAAGCTCTTGCAAAGCGCGCTGTGACACCACTGTGAACACGAGTCCATCACGGGGTCCCCTGGGGATGGGACTCCATGATCCTGGAGGGTCCTTTCCAGCTCAGCACATTCTGGGATTATTGAAGAGGTGAACTGCATGGATCTGTTTTTCTTGTTAGGGTTTGCAGCTCAGTTCACCCCAGTGGTCACCAACACTCTTGCTTCTGATGAGCCCTCAACAACTTCAGGTCATACATCAGCCTCTGTTCCCTGGTTTGGCTTCAGGTTGTCATAGTTTGTTTTAAATTTAAAAATATTTGGGATGCTTCCCAATGTTTTGGGTTGTTTTAACCCTCCTACATCCCCAAACTGATGGAGTCCTGCTCCAACACCAGCTCCCAGAGCTCCTACTGCACCTAATCCCTTAAGAATACTAATACAATTCTTCAAATAAAGGGAAACTGCATTTGGATGGTCTAACTTAACACTATCTCACCATATTTGTTTGAAACTCGATGGTTCTGGGGATCCAGTCCCCCCAGTGCAGCCTCCTGACCTCCTCCAGCCTCTTGGGCTCGTCTCCTGAGTGGCACTTTGTCAGACTTTCAGAGACATTTTTAGGTCTCCAGGTAGGCCAATCCCTCTCTTTAAAGGCCAGAAGAAAATTGAATTTGGGTACCACTCCCACTCCTCACAATACCCAATAAAGGGAATTTTTCTCTCCCACCTGAAAGTCATGGTGTAATCAGAAAACACCCAATTAACTCAAATGGAGATAGAAGTGCTTAGGTCTGAACTGTTACAGATAAATTCAAGTTAATGACTGATTTTTCCCATTTTTTTTCTCCTTTCACTTATTTCTGACATGTCCTAAATACTTTCAATCAACCTTATCAAAAATACTGTACCAAGGTCAAGTGTGCAGTGCTGGAAAGTGATAAAATGCATTAAGGAAATGGAATATCAGCAATCAGGAACCTCTGGAGAGTCTTCCTGGGGTGTATTTATAAAACTCGCCAGGGAAGACCTAATTTCTTATTTCTTTTCTTTGAAAACCTTCATTAACACCCTTTTAAACGAGCTAAACTTTCATTAAGTCTCACAAGATGTGAGAATACTCCCGTGAACCTCTCCCAGGTTCTGCAGAGCAACCACCAAGGGCCAGCCACTGCCCCATCTCTTGGTGGCCCTATAAAAATCTGCTACTGGAATTAATAAATACAGCTTCCATAAATTTGAAGGTGAAACTAAGAAAATGTGCCATTTGAAAAAAGCTCCACTTGAAAACAAAACCTCTGAAAATCCCCCCAGGCATTAAAATCTCCCCTTCCCTAAAGGAAGGGGATGAACTCCAACAGGACAGGTTTTCCTCCGAGGTATCCCAGTTGGAAGACAGGTATCAAAAATCCTGGATGATTTAGGCACTGTTGGGCATTAAGAGAACAACATTTCAGTTTGTTCAGACAAAAAAATGCTTTAGAAATCCAGTTTTACAAGCTTTTTTTTCAACATAAGCAAACTGTACAACCCTCCAAATAGGCTAGAAAATGTCCCAGCTCCCTCTAATCACTTGTTTTATGCCTTGAGAGCAGATTATTAGCACTTACTGGCTGTTTCTAATATATATTTCTATTCCCAGTGGCTCCCAGCTGAAAGGCTTAAGCCCTGCCAGGGATTGC